TAGGTTAATGACCCTACTATCTTAATAGTATAGGCCGACTCTGATCTTGGCATGGTTATACGATTGAAATCGGATAAAAAAGCGGGCTCCAAAATGGGGCCCAAGTGGGGTAGCTGAGTAATATGCGACTCTGTGCACGGGCCACATTTTTCCCGATATCCGCAGGATAATGTATATCCCATATACATTAGCCGCGCTGCGCTACGCTTTCTATTAAATACCTCGTATAGTATCCACTAGTAGTATAGGCATGTCTGCTGCGCTAGCTTATCTAGCTTCGTCTGTACTACTCTCTCCTGCACTGCCTGCAGCTGCGTATCTACTTACTACGCTAGCTGTCTACTTATATTAGCCGTAGTACTACTAGCTTCCACTAGATCTGCCTGCTATATAGCCACTTATCTACTGCCTATTCTGCGCCGACTGCAGTTGTCGTATACTGTAACTGCTTAACCTATAGCCTCCTCTAGCTATTAATATAATAACGCTATACTATCTATATATCGACTAATTACTCTTCGCCGACACCCGCGCGTCGATACTAGCGTTGCCACTACCTAGCTATTATCTATCTCTTTACTCTTATCTATCTCTATCTTATCTACCTTATCTATCTCGTCTGCCTCTACCTCGTCTGTGTCGTCTGCCTCGTCTACTACCTCTACCTGCTTTACCTACTATTGTGCGTACTACCGCTGCCGCTGCTCTTTTCTTACTACTACTAGTACTACAGCTTTACCTTGCCCTCGCGCTCTCCTACTCTCCTATATAAAGTTAATTATACTCTATAGCTATTCTATATACAGCGTAAACGCTACGCCCGTAATATCTACTTCTACTCCTAGCGCTAACGTATATATAATTAAACTACCGCGCTGCCGCTACTACTCTAGTATCATCGTGCGAGAACCTACGCCTGCGTAATAGCTACTATAGTCTAGCGCTACTACTATCTTATTATAGAGCTGTCGACTGCGGTAGTAGATAATCTCTTTAGCGTACCTAGCTTCTGTAGCTAATATAGCTGTAGCTGCTATAGCTATAGCTATAGCTATTGTGGCTGCTACTGCTGCACAGCGCTGCCTAGAAGCCTATTCTACCTCTCTTATTAACCTACGCGCTTGCTCAACACCTTACTTAGATAGCTAGTCTCGCTAGCAATAGTAGACTGCGTACTGCGTATTTAGCTGCTGCGTACTTCTTACTTAGACGATAGTAGCCGTATATATAAGTAGTCTCTGCTATAGCTGCTCTACCTGCGATAGAGGCAGCGTAGCCGTAAGAAACACGAGCTAGCACGCTAGAAGCCGTAAGTCTCTTAGCCGTGCTAGCTTTAGCTACTATAAGTTAGCTATAATAGCTACATAGTACTTATTAACTACTACCCGTCGTAGTATCTACTGCCGAGCGAGCAAAGCTGCGTACGAGAGAAAGTTACTATCAGCGCTCCCAACGTAGTTAGTACTAACAACGACTATACTAGCTAGTTAACTGCGATACTACAGCTCGCCTACCTCGCCTAGCTACCACTCTATCGCTTAGATCTTAGCTTCTATAAGCCGTACGAGCATATCCTCTACTAAAGCCCAAAACGGTATAACGAGAATCGTTACGCCTAGCCAATTAATCTACTAGCTTTAATTAAGAATAGTAGTAGTAAAAGGTAGAAGCGTCTTACCTCCGCCTATAGGCAGTATAACGATAAGAGGACTAACGCCTTATACGACGGCGTCTAGCGCTCGCTTCTAGTCTAGCGATCTATAGGTAACTAGCTGATTAGCAGAAATATAGAGTACCTAGTAAACAGCCTCGCTAAGCTACTCCTCTATAGTATGCGTGTTAGCCTCGTACGCCTACGTTAGCTTAGCTCTTTTTACTGCTAGCTGCTACGTTGCCGGCTACTGCGTTGCCAGCTGCTACGTTGCCAGCTACTACGGCTGTAGCCGTATTAAGCAGTCTAGGCAGCTTAGTACCTGCTTTCGCTTTCTTACTTGCTCTCTCGCCAACTCTATACCTTCTACTACCTTAGCTAATAACCTAAGAAATGCGTGCCACGCTAAGCTTAGCGTACGAAATACGTCAATTAATCGTAAACTAAGCCCTTAAATAATATCTGCTTATACTACGTACGCTACTATGCCTATCGCTGTAGATCGCCCGTTCTACAGCTCTAGTAGATCTTCTCTATCTTCGTCTTCGTCCGAGCTAACGTCTTTATTACCGCTAGCACCAGCAGCTCGCCCGTCTAGCTGCTTACTATAGCCTGCAGCAAAGCGCTCCCCTACTACCTCCCATCCAATCCTAACAGCTGCCTGCCAGTACTCAGCGATTGTTAGCCGCGATTCTAGCCGCTCTGCTATCTCTGCCATCATCGTACGCGTAAGCCAATCTGTATCCTACAGCCTACTATTACTCGCCCATAGATAGTCGCTTACTAACGTAGTAGCTGCCTTACTCTAACTACTAAGAAGCATCGCGCGTACGGGCCGTAGATAGAGCAGATACGCTGTGACTAGCTGCCCTACTACCTTAGGTAGAAACCGCGCGACTACCTTAGGCTTATCCTACTACGATTGCGTCTTATAATAGCGAGTGATTACTGCGACTCGGCCGTCTATAACGTAGAGATTGCGGTCTTACAGCACGCCGTTACGCCAGCGTACGGAGAGTAGCTCTGGCCTATAAGCTGGCTGGCCGGCTGTAATATAGATAGTAAGGTAAAGAAGCTCTAGAAAACGGTTAATTTATTTAAGATAGCGTTGGACGGCTCAGGGTTTCCACTCCATGCTCTGATCTAGTGGATAGCTGCTACTCGTTGATAGTTGCTCTAGCTGCTCTGGCTGCTCTAGCTGCTCTGGCTGCTCTAGCTGCTCTGGCTGCTCTAGCTGCTCTAGCTACTCTAGCTGCTCTGGTTGCAGTCGTACGCGCTGTTGGTAAAGCTTCTGCGCCCTAGCTACTCTAGCCAGCCGATCTAGCACCTAAGCTTGCCCTTACTGTAGCTGCGACGGCGATAGGTAGTATACCCTACGCTGTTAGATAGACACGTCGTCTTGTATCTCAGCTAGCCTAGTCGTCGGCCGATGCTCCTGCTCGCTTATCCACAGCAGCTCTTCCTATAGCACCCGTTCTGCCTTAGCGATGATACCCTGCGTAAGCTCGCGGAACTGCTGCAGCACGATAGGCCGGCCTTTGATATAGAACGTCTGTCGATCTGTCGACTACTACATACTGCTAGCGATGCTACTAGGCGTACGCAGAGCGATAAACTTAGCGTATGCTAGTAAGCTTAGTATAGTGCTTATTGGGCTATACGAGCCGTCTACTAGATAGCGAGCACGCTGCTTAAGAAAGCTACTTGTCTTAGCAGCACCTTGCTCCGCGCGCTTATCTGCTAGTAGAAAGAACTCTATCGCTAACGCCCGTACGCAGTAGACGAGAGAGCTAAGTATAGGCAAGAACTCGGTAGCTGTACGTAGACGGCTAGTCTCTAGGTAGATACTAAGAGTAGTAAGAAAATGGACTATTGGGCTAGCAAAGGGCTGCCTATAGAGCTTCTAGTAGATAAGAGCGTAGGATAGACGCAGCACGTACGTACGCTGCTTAGCTATTATAGTAGTACTGCTATCGTACTAGAAGAGGTACTTCTAGAGCTGCTCTGCTGCTGGCTTCTGGTTACTATACTATAGGAAGAGACGAGCAATGCTGGCTAGCTCGGGCACTACTAGTGCTGCTGGTGCTGCTGGTGCTACTGGCGTCTGCTTAACAGCTACTATACGGAGACAGTAGCAGAGTAGCCGTGCCTAGAGTTAAGCTGTACGCAGCTAGCTGGCCTTGTTTTGCATACGGCTGAACGGCTAGACGTTAGGCTCTTAAAGCTTCGTACTGCGCAGCTAGCGCAGCGTATCGCGAGGGAGCGTACTAAGTCTCTATATAGCCTCCTCTACTAGCTCTTCTACGAGCTATACGACGCGCTGCAGCTGCGGCTCCTCTACTACTACTAGGAGGCGTATAGCGTACGATAGTAGCTGCTAGTCTAGGTAAGCCTATAGGTGCTCATCCTATTGCGTCCGCTTAAACTAGCTAGTATAGTCTTTAGTGTTAGCTTCTTCTACTATACGCTCTATAGCCTCGCGATCTCTACGCTCGATAGCGTCGTACTCGCACGATAGATATGCTAGCCGCTGCTGATAGCTATTCTGTTCCTCCTCCTTCTTCTCCCCCTGCTGGCGCTACTAGCTTGCCTAGCCCGCTTAGCCTAACTCTAGCTGCTCTAGCTCCTGTACGATAAAGTAGCGTATATACTGCTTCTTACGAAAGAACGTCTGTACCTTTATAGGCCTCTATAGCTAAGTAGCGTACTTAGCGTATAAGGTAGCTAAGTTAGTAGGCTAGCGGGTAAGCTTAACTCTATACTATTAGTTAATATGCTTCTTTATCTAACTCTAGCTCGTACTAATAAAGCTACAGCTTACTTTATAGCAGTAGCGCAACGCGTCTTAGGGTAGACCTAGCTCTTTAAACGGCGTACTATATGGCGCTGGTACGCGTACGTTCGTAGGTAGCTATAGCGTATAGCTACTATAGCGTTCTAGTAGCTCTTTTCTCTCTTAAATAGGTAGCTTATAATAGTGTTTTAGATGGTCTTTAAGGCTATAGACAGCGTACTAGTGCTTATTATAGATAAGAACGCTGTAGGTAGACAAGTAAGTAAGCATAGCTAGTAGTATAATATTCTAATAGTAGACTAATTATAGTTATTATCATTTATTAATCTAGATATATAGAGAGAGAAAGAGAAAAATAATAAGCTCGTTGCCTTAGTAACAATCGGACTGTACGAGAAGAGCGTAAGCATAAATTAGGGTTAGTGTTACAAGTAACAAGAAGGATTCTCTCCTTGACAAATGACGAGATGGCTGAAGGCCTATAGACGTCCACGTCAGAAGGTAATGATTATCGCGGGGCGAAGATCACGTGATTAGCATTACGCTAAGACTAAGTATTCCGCGCTAGTATGTGAGGACACTTCTACACGTGACTAGATATCTTTAGAGGCTTTAGGAGATATAAGGATTATTTAGTGAGGACTGTAAGGCTAAAACCAGAAGCAATAAGGATATAAGGATAGATAGATTTTATTATT